ATGCTCTACAATCATTTACGTTAGGGAGTTGGGATTGGCCGTTATAATATGCATAAATAGCTACCATTTTCTTTAGTTCCATGAAATTTTAGTTCAAAACCAGGGTCTTAGCGTGGCCTTATCTTGATAGGTCTAGGGCTAGGCTTGGCGTGGGCTAGGGCCAGGGCATCTTTTTGCTGGGGCCAAGCAAGCCCTTGGCTAGCCCACAGGCGAGCAGGGTTAGGCTTGGGTCAAGGTTGGACCGGCCCAATCCCAGCGCGTTGCCAGCCCTAAGGCTAGGTGTTTAAGGTGGGAAGGTGCTACACTATGATGCCTTAATTTCAATTTCTACAATAAATACAGGCCTTTTTTACCACTCAAAAAAATAATAAACACATTTTGTATGAGTACATATATTTCCCATTTATATAAGTATATTATAAGGTTGCAATACGCACATGCACACATAGTACTCTATATGTATATACATCTATACACACATACGGGGTTAGGTTTAGCATCCCGACCTTGGTTGGGTCAAGTGGACCGAAATGTGACCCATCAGGTTCATCGTCTGAGCCCACATCGGACCGAGTTGGGTCCATTGGGTGCATTTTATTCAATTTGACATTTTTCTCTTGTGTGAGCTGGACCTAGGAAGACCCGATTCTATCCTATTAAGCTAAGAAATCAGGGCTGACAGGCTTGCTCGGATGTGTCCCATTGAGTATTCAAATCTAGTCAGGTCAACCCGACCTGCTTGCACTACTTTAATTCAAAATTTTATATGAGGAAAATTATTTTATGCGGGTTGGACCGCATTTCTACATATACGGTTCAGAAAGTGTAAAGCATCCATCTTAAAGATGGATGAAAGTAGGTGTTCCATCAACAATGGAAACTACCTGTCCGAATGTTTTTTTATTAGAATTATTATTTTTAGTTTTTGAATGTTATTAATCTTTTCATATTCATGATCTTCATGTTAGAGACTACATTTCTTGAAATCTTAAAATCCATCTCAAAAACGAGATTTATTAAGAGGTCCACATCTCTACATATGCAGGCTTGGCCCCATAGAAACTGGGTCCTTATATAACTAGGGCCCATCAGACCTTATACTAAAGCTCGGTAACCACCCGACGGGATTGCAGAAAGCTAAACCGGCCCATGTATGATCCTCGTCCAAATTCCGCCGGCCCGGCTAGGTCCATTTGAACCACACGTTCTCCCCCTCTGTCCGCGCCACACCATCTTATTTCCCTCTGCGTGGCACCTAAATGAATCGACCGCCTTCTCGCACCTTCACCCTGAAACAAACTCTCTTTCTCTCTCTCTCTATACACAGTGAGATAACAAGGAACATCATTCTTCGGTAAACATATTTGCCCTTCTATAGTCGTAATTGCAGGTCATTCATGGCTTCCCTTGCCGTCTCTCTCTCCGCACCTCCTTCTTCATCGTCTTCCTCTCTTTCATCTCCTTTTCCCATTTCCTTTACAACCAACTCTCGGAAACCATCAAATCGTCTTCGATTAGGCTTTCTAAGGGAATCAACCTCACACCAGAGGCGGCTGTCCGCGAAAGCATTGCTCGAGGAAACAGTTGTGCTTGGGCCTTCAGAGAAGGGGACCCAGGAACCAGATGCCAACCTCATTGCCTCGTTGAAGCTCAAACTACTCGTGAGCTTTTTCTTCTTTGAGCTTTGCCCAATTCATTATTCCGGAGCTGTTATGCCCTTGTTTGGATTAATATCTGGTTTTTATGCTTTCTTCTTTATAATGTTTTTGTTGTAGTTGAATATCCATGAAGCTCTTATTTGAGTTTCTAGGGTTTATTTCATAAGCAGTAGTATTTGACTGGGGAGAGTTTCCCCTTTTTGACCAAGCTGGAAAAAGTATGCCACAGTAGCATAACTAGTGATGCAGAATGTTATATTGCCTGAATAGTGAAGAATGTGTACCAATGTCAATGAAAATAAATGTAAATTTTCCTCAAATTGGTGCATTGTTAAAGGCTTTATGAACCATCAAGAATTGTGTTAGGCTAAAAAGTGAAGATTCAATAACTTACGTTGTGAAGAGGAACATGATCTCTACTTGCATGCCAACAAAGTGAAAATGGTCAGGACTTAGTAACTGTGGAGAATCATGAATATAGAATCAGAATAGTTTATTCTTATAAATTAAGCTGTGTAACTTTTGAAGAGGCAAGAGGGATTTCCATTAGGCTGAAGTTTGAATACTATGCGTTGTGAACAGTGGTTTGAAAAACGGATCAGTACTCGGGATCGAAGACCCCAAAAACCCATCCGGATCAGTGAATCGGTGATCCGGATAGGAAATCAGCTGAATCGGTCGGATTAAGCTTTAAAAAAAAATAAAAAAAATTTATTAAAATTCATTATAAATGTTGTTTCTTAGGAATCCAATATGAAATCGGGACACTACATTATTAATTTTTATTTTTTTCATCAATATGCGAATATTGAGATGTTCTTTTATTTTAACCATAAAATTTACATCACACAAAAGAAAAATCATAAAATTGTCATGGATGAAGTATATAAAGAATGGTTTAAATCGATAAAAAATGGCCACCAAAATATCGAATTGGCGTAAAACCCTAATTCGTTAAAAAAAAAAAAAAACCCAAATTATTAGAACCTAACTAACTATATCCAAAATTATTACAACCTAACTAACTATAATATTATATACTGAAATTGAAATTGTTGGTTTATATTTTATAATTATTTTATTATACAAATAATAACAAATCCAATTTTTTATTTATTTTTTACAAGAAATGCTTGTTGTATTACCTCTGACTTTTTTTTTTACAAAAACCTTTTATTTTTTTTAACAATAACCTTTTATTTATTTTTTTTTACAAGAAATGCTTGTCGTATTACTTTTTTTTTTTTTTTAACAAGAACCTTTTATTTTTTTGACAAGAAATACTTGTTGTATTACTTTTTTTTTTTTTGACAAGAACCTTGTATATTTTTTCCAAGAAACTTTTATTTTTTTAACAAGAAAATTTTTTATTGTTGTATTACCTTTTTTTTTTTTTTTGACAAGAACCTTATATATTTTTTTTCCAAGAAACTTTTATACTTTTATTTTTTTGACAAGAAAAAGAAATTTTGTTGTATTACTTTTTTTTTTTTCTTTAATAAGAGCCATATATTTTGTTTTAAGTTGACCAGGGACATTCAGGTTAGAAAAGGGTGTGCTAACCACCACACCATAGTTCGAATATTGTTATTATTCTCTCAACTTAAATATTATATTATATTACTATTTCAGCTATTAGCTTTTATCACAATAATCCCACATCGGAAATACAGAAGAAAATTGATGGGAGTAAATACTACTTTGTTACCAACTCTCAATGCGTGTGAAATGCATGAAGTAGAATGGGGCTTGCGGTTAAGGACACGTGCCTTGGACGATTCATGACGTCATGCACCGGGCGTTTCATGACGTCATGCACCGAGTTACTGTACAGAATCGTAGGTTCTTCTCTAGAAAGTACAGAATCGCAGGTTTTTCTCTAGAACGAACCGGGCGTATCGACACTGGTTCTTCTCTAGAACCGAGCTCTAGAAAGAACCCGATGATTCTCCGTGAACCGGGCTCTAGAAAGAACGGGGCGATTCTCCGTTTTACGCAAGTATCGACACGGGTTCTTCTCTAGAACCGGGCGATTCTTTGTTTTATACAGGTATCGACACGAGATGACCGATTATATAGTAAATTAGAGGATTCAAAATGTTTTAAAAAAACGGTCCTTGGTATCGACAAGAGATGACCGATGATATAGTAAATTAGAGGATTCACAATGTTTTAAAAAAACTTTATTGACACGAGATGATCGATGATATAGTAAATTAGAGGATTCACAATGTTTTAAGAAAATAGTCCCTGGCGCCCAGGCGCTTGCCTGGGCGGCCTAGACCAAAAATCCTGTGTATCGACACGACACATTTATCGATACAGGTTCTTCTCTAGAACCGGGCGATTCTCCGTTTTACACAGGTATCGATATGACACAGGTATCGATACGGGTTCTTCTCTAGAATCGGGTGATTATCCGTTTTACACAGGTAACGACACGAGATGACCGATGATATAGTAAATTAGAGGATTCACAAAGTTTTAAAAAAACAGCCCCTGCGCCTGAGCGGCTTGGACCAAAAATCCGCCCGCCTAGACCCAAGCGGCCCTACACACCTGGGCAGGTGCCCAGGGCAGATGTACCTGGATGGCCATCCAAGCGGGCTAGGAGGGCGCCCAGGGACATAAGGCGTTTCTCGTTTTTTTAAAACTAAGGGACGCCCGAGGTTCTGGGCTCCAGGCAGGCCGCCTAGGGGCCGCCTAGCTTTTTTTGAAACCTTGGGGATTCATGCCCTGCTAAACTCATCATGATGATTTATGCTGTAACCTTGGTGGTGGTATATTGGAACTCGGAACTTTGTGTAGTAATTATGCTTCTCAAACAGCTAGGGCAAGTTATGTATTCAGAGGTTGATCAATTGTGGATCGTATCCATGAGATCTTAGATCCAAAGATATATGTGCCTCTTATTTCCTATAAAGAAAAATAAAAGTCGTTTAGAAAAATTAGAGAATTGGAAGATTTGTCATGGAAGTTATAGCTTGATCCAAGAGTGGTGTTCGGCTGCCATCATCTGTGTTTATCCTGAAAAAAAAACACATGGAGCTGCACAATAATAAATGATTGAAGAAATCAATAGAATGTAAATGATATCGATTTAAAAATCTCAATAATTAATGAAATAACAAATTGCAATATGAATATGAGAACATCAAAGATCAACATGTCTGGCTCATGCAACTGAAACTTATTAAGAAAAGCCAAGGAATTGCTTCCTAGTTGCAGGATTAGTAGAAGACTAGGAGTCCAAAAGATGAAATTGTACATATGGTTCCTGAGAGTCCTCAATCTCAGTTGATGTAGTTCTCCTCGTTTTTCTTAAAGTAGAAATATAGGAAAGTGATGAACAGAAGACTTCAATTTACATTACCTGGTCTCTTGTTTGCTTGCCATTTCAATGATTGACACTTTCGAAGGTCCATACTGACTCTGATTTCTCTAGATTCTTCCATTTGTTTGTAGAACTTTGAAATTCATTTTAATAGGCTTGATTTCTTTTTTTGTTTCTAGGAAGCACAACTGAACTTCGAAAATCTATGGGTTTATATTTTGATGGCAACTATACACTAGTAATTTTTGTCTTGGTGTTAACCATTAGAAATACAAATTTTCTCTTGGAGCTTAGGATATCACGGTTTAGCTCGGTACTTCTTTATTATGAAATGGACATTTTTAAATGGTTTTGAACTTCATTATCTCTTTACGATTATATTTCAATATAGCTAGATATAATTTTGTCATTATATGTAGGAATATGTTGTAAGGTTTTGGTCATTATTTTGAACCCAGATTATCATGTCATAGGCAATCCAAAATCCCATACCCATCTATGACACCTATGGTCATTCCTATGTCCAAGAAACATGTCTTTATCCTGCACTTAGTGATTGCCCTGATGGGAACGTCTGCCCTGAACTGGAAACGGCTAGCAAAATGGATTAAAATTTATTCACAACCCTTTAACAGTTCTTAATAGGCATGACAGAATTCTTTAATGGTATTACTCTGAAAATCCTTGGAAAAAGAGACCATGCCTGCTGAAGTTTCACTAGGAAGGTTGCTAATTGTATATATACCTTATTGAGGCATGGACTTTAGAAAGAGGCATACACCTCCTTCTGGAAGCAAAGTTATTTATTGTTAGCCATGTACTTTTTCAGTGTGTGTCTAGAATGAAGAGAACTTTGTGCATGGGCTTTGATAGATGTCACTGTGCGATAGTTGTTTGCTAGAGTTTGTATCTTAGTTCATCTTGGGTTTCGTTTAATTACTTGTTATGCTGTTGGGATATTTTGCAGCAGTTAACTTGTCAAGTTTGGACAATGTATAGGGATATAATAATAAAATTCACATCAAATTTGGTTCTTCTACATGTATTCATGTTTAGACGGCAACAGCTTGCATCAATCAAGCTCAAAAGGCAAACAAAGCAGCTTTGGAATCCTTTGCTGCTTCCCATACTTCTAATCAAGAAAGATCTTGACAAGAATCTGCATCAATGAAAATCAATAGAGTAGTGACATTTATGCCCAGGATTTTAAAGAGTCCAAGTATCTAGCCCTCCTGACAATTCCAAACTCTCTCATACAAACCCCTCACTCTTAGCTATATTTCCCTGAGATTTCAATGTTCATCTTGTCCTAATTGCGATAGGCAATGCAAGTTTGAACTCCAAGGGTCAAAATATGGCCCGTCAACAGCGCCTTTTGCAATGCTTTGGGATATTTTACTGGTAATGACCATGTCAAAAGATATCTTGGTCTTTAAACACACAAACTTGAAAGGTACGTTGTCTTAGATGCTGCCTTTGATGCTAGTACCTTGCCTTGGGTCGCAATGAGGACCGATATATCTGACTTTTGAAGCCTTTTTGTTTTTTGGTGAGCTTGGTCCATCTAGGGATTAGAAATTCTATAGGCTTCTATTGTTTTTGGGTGAGTTGGCCCTTTCATAAATTAGAAATTTTAGAAGCTTAAGTCAAAGGACCCTAAAGGATTTGGCCTTACTTCAAAAATTTGAACAAACTCATGCAGTCATCGTTAGATATCAGTGCTGTGGCTTGTCACAAGAAATATATTCTTAAGGAGAGAGTATTCTATAGCTGCACACCTTGCGCCTACCTGAAGTGGCGGTTGAGATGCTTGGCCCTTTCGAGTCTTCACTAGGTGGTCGAATGGCAAAGTTTATTGATGCTTGCAATGCTCGATTTATGTATGTGAATTAGCATAGCTTTATCGAGTTTATTGATACCACCTGAGATGCCGGTTGTGCTCTTACAATATGGGCTTTTATTTTCACCCTTTGGTCATCTTTGATGAGGTGATAGTGAATTTTGAAGAGCGTAAGGAGGTCAACAGGCTTGTTAAAGGCCTGAAAGTTAATTCCTGGTGATGTCCATTAGTGAGGATCTTTTGGAGAAGATTTTCCTTTCAAAACTTGCAAAAAACTGGTCATTAGTCTTTAAGAAATAATATGTATCCAATTTTTCTCAAGAAGACTGAGTAGAAGCAATCATGAAATAATGTCCTTCAAGGATTGCCTGTGACCATACAAGCTGTTGGCTGAAACCTCAATAGGGTGGATATTCTACGGATTTTGTCAGGAAGCTCCACAGAGATCTTTGTAACTCTGAAAGGTAGGAGGGGTCTTTTGGGAGAATCTGTATAATGATTTCTACCCCTAGATTCGAGCAGTGACTACTGACTGTCTGATACACTCTTGTGCTGTAGAGATAATATTTCCTTTGCAATGGAGGACTGATTACTGCTCTAAAATCATGTAGCGTCCTAAATCACTAGTCAAAATTGTGTTATAGAGAAGAGAGTAAAAAATATGAGAAGGTGGATTGAAGACGGTTCTGTGCTCCATGGCATTGTGTTATATAATATTACAGTTACTTAAGGACCCTAGGGCATGAAAATAATTACACTAATGCTCTTATATGGGGTCCATTACACACTATAGACAATATAAAGACAACGAGAGGAATATAGACAGACAATAACCATAATGTACACTATTCTCTACAATATGTATGTGGTATCACTGTTATGACGATGAATACAGCCCAATTGTATTATTACTGATGAATAATTGGCTGATATTCAATAAGTTAAATCACTGAATTTTATGGCCAGAACGTTCCTAAAGGCTTTTCTCGTTCTTCTAGGCCACTAGGGGTCCACCAATTGACCATTTACAGTAAGTCGATGACACCCTAGTCTTTTGTGATGCAGACCCCAATCAGGTAAAAAGTGGTAGACAATTTATGGTTGTTCTTAGGATGTTTGAACTTTCCACAGGGCTTGAGATTAATGTGGCAAAAATGAAATTGATCGGGGTTTGACTGTCAAAGCGGGAGTTATTGCTTGCTAAGAGGCTGGGTTAGAGAGGAACCCTGGCAAAGAAATACCTTGGCCTTCCTCTATGCCTAGCGAGGCCCGAAAAGGCGTCAAAGGTAGCTTGCATTGTTGAAAACCAGCTTCGTCCCTTGCAGGTTGACTTATGCTAATTAAGGCCACCCTATCAAATATACCAGTCTTCCACATGTCCCTATTTGAGATGCCTATGTTGGTCCTTAATAAACTAGAACTTTTCACGCGGAACTTTTTGTGGCCTGATTATGAGGGGTTTAAGAATTTTCATCCCGTAAGAGTTGAGGTGGCTTGCAAGCCTAAGATAGGAAAAGGTCTTATGCATAAGAAGACTGAAATAGTGAGCGAAGCTCTGTTAAGTAAATGGTGGTGGTTTTTCAAACATCAGAAAGGCCTGGCCGTGTATCATTCAAGATAAATATGCTCGGATGATTCAGGTTCGCTACCAAAGCATAAATTAAGTGTTTGCTCATCGAGTGCTTCGACAAGTATTTTGATGTGTATGAAGATTAAGAGAACATGTATGATGTCAAAGGTTGGTGACCTTACTATGCTGTGAAAAGACTTGTGTGTGGCAGACAGAACCCTGGGAATCTCTTCGCTGACCTGTTTTTTCTTACAATAGATCAGAATGTATCCATGGAGGAAACTTGTGAGACCCTGAGAGGCTTACTGATTTGGGTTCGAAGTTTTTCAGCAACCTTCAGTCAGCTGAAGTCGTGGATTTCACTTTATACCTTCTCCAAATCGGTTCTTGCCTAGCCTCGGGAATCTTTACGGTGTCTTATAAGTTGCTGCCCTAAACTTCTCCACCTTCTCCATTCCTGTTGTAGAGAGCAGGGCCCGGATTACCCAAGTCCCCGCTAAGATTAAAGCATTCAGTTGGCTCGTCATATCTAAAAAAGCCCTTACCATCGATCAAATTCAGAGGAGAGGTATCCCAATCCCAAAACGACTCATCTTGAGTAAAAAGAGTTTGGGAAAATGTTGATCATTTGTTCTTGTTTTGCTGGATGTTTGCGCTGGTATGGGCTGCCATTCTAGGTCTCGATTTGAGTGGCAGTGGGTCTGGTCTGAAAGCCTTGAGGTCCTTTTCAGTGCCTACTTATCGCCTCTATTCGTGTTGCAGGCCTATTGTTATGGTGGGCTATCGTTCTAGCCTTAATTTGTAATTTGTGGTTTGAGCGCAATGCAAGGACTTACGATAGAAAAATTAAGGGGAGTGGGTAATTTGTTTGAAAACATTAGAGCTACCAATATATTTTGAGCCCAAAACTGTAAAGCTTTTGGGGCTGGTCATCTGTAGACTTTCTACTGAATTGGGGGAGCATCAATTGCACTAGGCCTATCGGCATCACAAGATCAGTCTTATGGAGGCCGCCTCCTTTTAGGGGTGGTTAGGCTCAACTTTGATGGGTGTTCCTTAGGCAATCCTGGTCACTCAGGTGTGGGTGGCCTGTTTAGGAAACATCAATACCACATTGTCTACTCTCATTCTCGGGCCCTATCGATTCCACATGGGCCTAGGCCTTGGCTCTTCTTGAGGGTCTGAACTTGTTTGATTATGTTTGGGGTCACTCACTGCAAATGCTAGGGGATTCCTTCAAAGATGAGTTACTTACCTTTGGTACCTTGAACGCTTGTTTGACCATATCTCGGTGTTATCTCGTGATATCCAGGTCTCATTCGGCCATGTTTGGCAGGAGGCCAACACGAAGCTGGTACTCTCACCCAGGGGAAGGGGGCAACAGGAAACAGTTTTATAATCAATATGTTACAGTTCTGAAGGGTCATGTTTGTAATTCACACTGTAAATTTTATTCATTATTTTTCTTTTGGTTTTCAGCAGTGCTGAATTTTGCACAGTTACTCATTACAGCATTACAAGGTAAACTTTGTAAAAAACTGACTGATATGATATAAGGAGATATTGCGCCAACACCATTTTATATGATGAAAGAGCCCATCCATTTGGTAAATCTTTAGAGAAGGGTGACCTTGAAACCTGAAAATCGATGATAATGCTGCTTTAATTTTGGATGTTTCAAAGGTGTCATCTGCGCATGATATTGGAGAGAGTGTATGTGTGTGTGTTTTAACAGGCTTTTTTCTTCTCGAGGAGACACATGAGAATATACACTCCACAAATGGCTTTCTGTTCTTGGTTTTCCATATGTTGATGTGTAATGGTACAAGACATTTTGCCCAAAACCTTGATCTTTTTTTCCTCTCTTGCACTTACAAGCTACATTTTTCTGTTGCTTGTTAACATGTTTGGATGACGATCTCTTCAGCCAAATTGCAAGGGAACCTGAGTTTGGCCTTACTTGGCACAGTGGTTGTCCTTCGGCATAAGAGAAGCCATTTCGTTAATTCCATGAAGGGGGAGGGATTTGGGAGAACTTCCCATCTTTGCATTTGCATAATCTCCAACTCCAGCCATAGAAACTTCCCATAGATCTCTTGCTATGTGTCTAGTTCCTTTCCAAAGCAGTGAATTATTGACCATTTGACACTAACACTATAAATAATTATTTGTTTTTACCAGAGGATGGATTGAGCATTATTTCTGTCCATTACTGGGATTATTATGATCAGATCGAATTTTTATATGAGAGAAATTTTGGGCCATGGACTAACCATACACAGTAATGGCTGGTAGAGTTCACTAGAAACTGGAAAGTTGATTCTGGAAAGGGTCAACTACTAAAATCATTAAGTATTTGATTCCAAGTCAAACACTCTTTTTCTAGTCATTTTCGTTTATCCCTAGCAAAAGCTGATTTATTGAACATTGCATTAGCAAAACATCAAAGTAATCCTTGTAGTGCATGATATGCATGATGCCAATCTACTCCATAGAATTAGCATAAAAAAGTTCCATATGGTTTAAGTTCATTTCAAGCATATGCAACTTGTGTAACACCATTTTAAAAGGCTATCATAATCGTTAATATTATTTAGAGTCTTCGCCTTCTAAAATTCACATGAGATGTTTGGGTTCAGAGTGCTGTTTCTGGACTGAATAGAGGTCTGGCTGCAAATGAAGAAGATTTGATAATAGCAGACTCTGCGGCAAAGGAGCTGGAGAATGCATGGGGACACGTTGATCTCGAGTCTGATCTCGATAAGTTACAGGGAAGATGGAAACTGATATATAGTAGTGCATTCTCAGCTCGCACGCTTGGTGGGAGTCGTCCTGGACCCCCAATTGGAAGATTGTTGCCCATAACTCTAGGCCAGGTTAGTTTGGGGAATTGGGGCTTTCGTCTAGGCTATTCTGCCCTATGGAACAGCATTTTCTTTTTGTAGTTCAGCAGTTTTTTATGAATTAAGTTTTTTGTTCCGTCTTCGATTGATATTTCTTCTTTGTAGGTTTTTCAAAGGATTGATATACTAAGCAAAGATTTCGATAACATAGTGGAGCTCCAACTTGGCACCCCATGGCCGCTACCACCTGTAGAAGTGACTGCTACATTAGCCCACAAGTTCGAACTCATAGGTTAGATAATGCAAACCCACATATTGATAAGAGATTGTTTACAAAGAGACTATTTATCTTTTGTACATAGAGGTCACAATCATTCCCATTCATTAGATGTCAAATTGAATGCTTTGGGGTAAGAGTCACGTCCGAGAATTTTTTTTTTTGGGAACTTTGTGTCTATTCTCTTACAACCATCCATTTTGAAATTTAAGGGACAAGAATGATTGTGACCTTTATGTACAAAAGATAAATGATCTCTTTGTAGACATTACCTATAATCTGGAATTTACCACCTATTTAGTCTAACTTGTGTGGGTGCAACAAATATATTATATGGTCGCCTTGATTGTAGGGTCTGCAAAAATAAAAATAGTGTTCGAGAAAACTACAGTAAAGCCAACCGGCAGCTATTCGCAGCTACCTCCACTGGATATACCCCGGATACCTGATCAATTAAGGCTGCAATCGAATACTGGTAGCGGAGAATTTGAAGTTACATACATCGACAGTGATACTCGCATAACTAGAGGAGACAGAGGAGAGCTAAGGGTATTTGTGATTTCATAGGTTTGCAGTCTGTTGTGTGTGTTCTTGTTCGGATCCTTCACTTTCACTGTACCCCAGTCTATGATCGAGGCATTTGGCCCTTGTCAGAGTCTGTATAATTGCAGTCTATGATCAAAGCATTTTGCCCTTGTCAGGGTCCTCTTTTTTAGTCCGTTACTCATCTGAGAATGTTCTTTCTGTATAATTGTAAATAATCTCTGTAAACTTGTGAAAGATGATGAGTTATTACAATTGTTGATGAGATTTTTGGTCACGATTGCATTTTGTACACAAGCTGTTAGTGTCAATTGTCGATGAGATTTTTGGTTATGATTGTATTTTGTATCTAAAGCAAGACTACCCACTCTCTCAATCTACCCCACCATTATGGCATGTATATTGTATGTAATCCTGTATGAAATTCTCTCAATGTTTTCTGCGTAACACCAACTAAGGGCTGAGAATGGGTTGGATGGGCCCGGATCCACAGGGATCTGGATTCAGATCCAAAAAGTATACATGGGGATCAATAGTTGGATCCAGATCTGGATCCAAAAAGTATACATGGGACATGGATCCACTTGGTCAGCCCCAAAAAGAATTATTTTATGTATTATTTTATATAGAAATGACCTTGTGAGACTTTTCCACATCCATGTGTGACCTTAAAGGATCACCATTAAATTTGGCACAGATCTCAAGAAAAGTCAAATATCACACTTATGTGATAATTTTTTTAAAGATCTGTGTCAAATTTAATAATGATCTTTTGGGATTCTACACATATGGGTGAGGGAGGGTCTCATAGGATCATTATTCTATTTTATATCTATAAAATAATATATAATAAAAAATACTATGTATACATAAAAAATAATATGGAAGGTATTAATAACTAGCCCGTATTCAATCCAAAGTGCTATTTGGATACAAATTTTTTATTTCGATCAAATCTTGAATTTATACTTGGATTTGGATAGGACCCAAAATTTATACAAATTTTTATTTCGATCAAATCTTGAATTTATACTTGGATCTTGATAGGACCCAAAATTTAGGTTTCGAATTCAGACCAGGTAAATTCCCAGCCTTGCACCAAATGCGGTAGAGTGAAAACATACAATCCAAACTACTTCATAGTCAGCATGAGAATACCTTGCCAAATTTTCCTATTTGTGCTGCTCTTATTAGTAGTTTTCCATTTTGAAGATCAGTTATTATTGAATTTTGTGGCAATTTTTCTTTTTCTTTCAAATAAATTCAAAATAGGTGGGGATGCATTGTACAACATTAGTGGCATGAGTGTGTATAGAAACAGCGATTTGGGGTTCATATAGCTAATACCCCTAATGTTAAAATTTACACAACAAAAAGCATTGGGATAATATTTTATCTCAGTGTTTGCAAAATCGAACCGGAACGGTTAACCGGACATGGGAGTGGAAGCGGTTTAACCTGTCCAATCGGTAAACCGGCCGATTCAACCGTTCTAACGGGGTAAATCTCAATATGGTCAAAAATTGTTGAGAAAAATAAAAAAAAGATACAAAAAAATTTACTAAAATATGAAAAGCGTATAAAAAATGATTAAAACAAAACACATTCAAATCAAGTTGAAAATTAATGGAAAAAATGGATTTTAAAGGTGTTTAACGGTATTTTAAAAAAATTTCTAAAAAGATGGAAAAATATAAAAGTAGGTGTTAATGACCAAAACCATTTCTAATCTTTACTATAATATAAAGAGTATTAAAAAATGTATTATAAATCAAGTTCTTTATTTTTTAGAGATTTTATATATATATATATATATAGTCGTGGTAGGCGAAGGCACGACAGGGGAGTAGG